CAGAGCAACTATTGGTCATCTACTTCCCCGGAAGCTATTAGAGCAGGACCTTGATCCGAAGTTTAGCGCGCCTGGTGGGCACAGGGCGCTGGTGAGAAAGACTTGCCGCGGTCCGCTCATGCAGCAATTGTGGCCCATACGAGCCTCCGCTTCATGGAAGCGTTACCAGCTGCTTGGACGATGTCCAGATCGAGAGTTTGCGGATGAACGAGCGGATACAGCAGTGACGGCCGGTCGTTCGAGCCCCCGCTTCATCGAAGCGTTACCAGCTGCGGACGGCGTCCAGATCGAGAGTGTGTGGATAAACAGCAAGCATGTGATATGACAGTTGCAAGTCCATCATAGTTCAATGAAGGTTTCTACTGACCATTCTAGCCGTGGTAGACATCTCTTTTCGCAGCTCATCCGCAATTTAATGAAGGCTTCTACTGGCCATTCTAGCCGTGGTAGACTGATCTCTTTTCAGCTCATCAACGTTAATACTGGCCAGTCTCGCGGTGATGGGCTGATCTCTTTTCGCAGGTCATGAAATCTTTTCTAAACAATGGAAGCTGCAAACTATTTCGTGCCTCGAGAGGTGACAATCTGGGTTCGCCTGGTGGGTCAGTTGTTGCCTGGACAGGTCAGGCAACGGGATTCCCTGAGAGCTATTTGTTTGCCTCTATGCAGTGAGTGGATGCGTTGAAAATCTCGGACTTCCGTGCGCGGGCGTTGATGCTCCGAAGCTTCATTGCCTTGGCACGCAGCTCCTGGCAGAGGGCCTTCTGGGCTCTTTTAAAGTCTTTGCCTCTATGCAGTGAGTGGATTCGTTGAAAATCTCGGACCTCCTCCTGGCAGAGGGCCTTCCGGGCTTTTTTTTGGTCTTTGCCTCTAGGCAATGAATGGATGCGTTGAAAATTTCGGGCCTCCCTGTGCGGGCGTAAATGCTGTGAAGCTGCGTTGCCTTGGCACGTAGCGCCTGGCAGAGGGCCTTCGAGGCTCTTTTGGCTAGGCTTCGCAGGACCTAGATCTGCGAGAACAAGCCGATCGAGTTGAATCCACGTCTGAGCGCTGCTTTTCGGTGGGTTTGAGTGGGGTGAGCGGGCTGAAGCTGTGCAAGGGTTTCGGTTCGCCTCGACGCCTTGAACGTACTGGAAGCTTGAAGAAGTTGGACCCTCTGTTTCCTAGTGACCTTGTTGCTTGTCATTTAAAGTGGACTCACATAAACTTAAGGCTTGGCGTTTTGGCAGGAATGACGTACCTGTTAGGAAGCTTGCTACCGAGCTCAAGAATCAAAGCTTTCGTTGACGCCTTCTTCTTAAGCTTTGTTGCTTTTCATCTTTTCTGTGAACTAAGTGAAGAATCTCGTCCCTAAGCCAGCCATGCTCTCGTCCCAAAGGCTCCTACGGTCGTGGAAACGGGTTCAATGTGACAGTCGACGCAAGGTGAACCTAGATAGACGCTCTTGAACCAAATCTTTTCCGGCCTTCGCAGGAAGTAGTTCTGCCAAAACCGATCTGCTTTTCGGTCGGCTGTAGTGCACGACTAGGCTGATCTTTGCAAGGGTTTCGGTGCTGGACCATCGCCTCGCTGGATTGCGCATACGCAAAGCTTCGAAGATTCGTCTAACTTTTATAAGGACCCTCGAGTTCCGGGTGGCGTTCTTGCTCGCAATGTAGGATGGACTCAGGTAAGCTTAGGGCTTGGTTTTTTTGGTCTGGCAGGAAGGATGTGCCTGTTAGGAAGCTTTTGCTACCGGGCTGAAGAATATGATCAGGCCTGCTCATAAAGCTTTGTTGCTTTTCATTTTTCGTGTGCTAGCAAGCCCAAAAACTTAGCGAGCAGTGTGGCATATGCAGGCTAGCCTTCCTCCAACCTACAAGGACCCTCGAAGTCCTCTTAGCTTTGTTGCTCTTTACGATGCAGAGTTTACGTTTTAGGGGGAGGGGGGTTGTAATTGTCTCGACGCTACAGCGCTGCTCAAGCCTCTAACAATCCGACTGCCGACTGCTTCCTCCCTCCTTTTTCTTTGCCGCGGTGGCCAGCATGACCTTGCGTTATGCCGAAGGTGATTTCGCGTGCAAGGAGTGTGGCGGCACTCGTCTGGAGTACGATGAGGCTCTAAGGGGTGGGCTCCTTCACGGTTCTTCAGTTCTTTCGGGGTCGCTCCTTCCGGTTCTGTTTTCCCCGGCTTGGGATCACGAGAGGGTTTCCTTCCACGGGAAGGGGGGGGTTCCTCGCAGCAGGACAACAAATTCTGTTGCCTCACGTGTGGCACAGTCCACGACTGCTGGGATCCCTTGGGGCTCAGCAGCATCGACGAGGTTCGCGGGTTCAAGTTCCGGGTTTTTAGTTCGGGGGTTCGGGTTCTGGTTTTCAGTTCGGGGGTGCCGTTGTTGTTGTTGTTGCTGCTGCTGCTGCTGCTGTTGCTGTTGTTGTTGTTGTTGTTGGTGCTGCTGCTGCTGGTGCTGCTGCTGCTGCTGCTGCTGCTGCTGGTGCTGTTGGTGTTGTTGTTGTTGTTGTTTTCCTTTCGGGGACGAGGAAAGGGTTTTTTTCTAGAGATTGACTTCTTTCAGGAGGAACACGTGGATGTGAGTGTCTTCGAGACCCGGACGAAGAAGGGCGTCAAGGTGTACGAAGTCCTTGGTCTGAGTTAAGGTGTGATCAGACAAAGTAGAGTTCTTGGGTTTCTTTTGGATTTTTTCTAGTTCTTCTAGTCCCTGGGCTTCCTGGACACCTCAGGCGAGGCACACACATATCGTGGACCTCAGCCGACACCGTTGGCGCCGGACCGTCCGCATTCGCACCGCAGGTCACCGTCAAGAGCTGCGGTGTACTTCACTTTAGGGTTTTGAGGTTTTAGGGTTTAGGGTTTAGGGTTTTGAGTTTTAGGGTTTTGGGGTTTTAGGGTCTTGAGGGCCAGTGCCCAGGTCAGCAGTCCCGATTCCTGCGACCCGTTTGTCCCTAAGCGCCTAAACCCTGAACCCTGAACCCCAAACCCGAAGCCCTAAACCCTAAAAGCCCTAAACCCTAAACCCTAAACAACCCTAAACCCTAAACCTCGAGCCTTGGTGCCAGGGCGGGAACCTTTGCCTCCACGCCGAAGAGCCGCTGCTCGGGTGCAAATAATATTAATAATAGAATAATATTAATAAGTAATAATAACAATAATAATACTAACAATAAGAACTATTATTATTAATATTATTATAAAATAACATTAGTATTCTTATTACTAATATTATTACTGTTATTATTATTGCTATTATTACTCTGATTATGAGGGAACCGTCGGCCCCAGAGCCCCCAGGGGGCTCCAGGTTTTCTTTTGGGATTTTGGCTTAGGGCTTAGGGTTTAGGAGTTAGGGGTTAGGGTTTAGGGATTAGGGTTTAGGGTTTAGGGTCTAGGGTTTAGGGATTTCTAAAGAGGTCCGTGTAGGGTTAAGAAGGTCTTTAGAAAGTCGTCTCTAGGGTGCAGGTTTTCTAGAGTTTGCATCGGGTTTGGGTCCTGCGTTTTCGATTGAAGCGTTTTAACCCAACGGCTCTTTGACTGCTTGCATTGGGTACAGTGGGCCAGCTTTAAGAGTGCCGAAAGCCGGCGTGAATTTCAGAAGTAGTATAGGGGCCTTAATAATTAGAATAGGTTTGTGGGTATAGTATACTATAAATATAATAAGGAAAGCCCAAAACCCTATTCTAATTATTAAGCCCCTACACTCTAAACCCTTATAGTAGGTCTTATAGTAGCCCTTATAGAGCCCTTTAAGGAACCCTTTAAAGGAACCCCCAAAACCCTATTCTACTTATTAAGGCCCCCCTACATTACGTTGTCGCATTGCGAAGCCGGAAAAGCAGCCGAAGTCACAGGTGAGACATGGCAAACACGGTATCTGGCCCGGTACACTGGTAGCAGTGGCAACGGTAGGCCAGAAACCCGACATCCCGGGTTTAGGGTTTAGGGGTTTAGGGGTTTAGGGGTTTAGGGGTTTAGGGGTTTAGGGTTTAGGGTTTAGGGTTTAGGGTTTAGGGCATAAACCCCAGACTCCAAACTGTAAACCCTGAGCCCTGAGTTTTATACACCTATAAGCCTCTTGTAGAAGCCTGAAAGAACCCTGATCTCAAGGAGCCCCTGAAGGAACCTTTCAAGGAAACCTTAAAGGAGCCACCCTAAACCCTAAACCTTAAACCCTAAACCCTAAACCCGAAGCCCCAAACCCTAAAGTCCTGCTCAACCCCTTGCTTGCCAGCCACAAAACGCAAAGGCATTGAGCGCTTCCTGGTTTTCAGCCGGGCGACGCAGAGTCTCTTCAAGAAAGGCAAGAAACTGGTTTAATCTGGTTTAGGGTTTAGGGTTTTAGGGTGTAGGGTTTAGGGTTTTAGGGTGTAGGGTTTGGGGTTTTAGGGCTTAAGGTGGAGGGTGCTAGGTTCCGGGTTTCAGGTTGAGGGCCGTTGAGGGTTTAGGGTAGAACCCTTGCAGTCCCCCCTTCTATCGCAGCCTTGGCAGCCGCAGATTTTGGTTGGGGATCCGGGGTGTAGGTCAGGGTTTTCTACTGCTCATCATGCCTCTGTTATAGGGTTTAGGGTTTAGGGATCTGGGGCCAAAGATTTCTCTTAGGGGCCTAGACTAGACTGGAGGTTAGGTCGCATGCGAGATTCTGTCGAGCTGTGTTTCAGCCGGGTGGTTTCCCTAGGTTTCTTGGAGCCACATTGGGCTTAGGGTTCAGGGTTTGGGAGTCAGGCTGAGTTTAGACCTGCTGCAAACCCTTGCCTAGCAGGCGGTGTACGTGCACATCCCCTAAACCCTAAAACCTAAACCCTAAGCCCTAAACCCCTAGCCCCCAAAACCTACCCCTCAAGCCGCAGCCCCAACGCACGGCGAAACCCCAGACCCTAAAGCCTCAAACCAACCTTTCAGGTGGAGATCTTCACAGAGAGAAGCCTGTTACAGGGAGTTTCGGGTTTAGGGTTTAGGGATTACCAAGACTGTTTTGAGGTTCCTTCTTATACTTATAGTATCATGTACCCCAAAGCCGCCCTAGTCTGATTGCTGACGCCCCTATGTTATGTCAACCCAGTGGAATCGATCAATAGTGGCCATAGTGCTACTTGCAACATATGACAACCATGGTGCGAACAAAGGGCTGAGAGCTTAGGTTTGGGGCTTGTCCGCTGATTGATTTACGAACCTTTACTGTGCTAGCAACGAGTGGTAAAAGTCACACTGGGAAGCCGGATGCAACCCAGGAAAACCCTAGAGACCCTTAAAAAAATCTCTAGAAAAGCCTAGAAACCCCTATAGAATCTCTAGAAAACCCTAGAAACGCCCTATAAAATCTCTAGAGCTCTGAAAGGTGCTCGTACCCAAGCCCTGAACCCCAAACCTGCTGCAGCAGGTATGAACTTCGGGGCCGCGACCTCAGCTGCACATTCCTGGACGGGGTTTAACCCTCAACACTAAACCGAAATCCCATCATGTATGTGTATATGTATGTATATATATATATTATACATACACACATGCACATAGACACATTTATTTGTATATATATATATATGTATATCTATATTTTTTTCTCTATATCTATCTCTATATCTATATGTATACATACCCATATCTATATCTAGATCTAGATCTAGATCTAAATCTATATCTATATCTATACCTATATCTATATCTGTGTATATATATATACACACGTATACATACATATATACATTTATATATGTAGATATATGTATATGTATACGTATATGTATATGCGTGTGCTCTTTGAACCCAAGCCCCGAAGCCGCAGAGCTCCGGAACACTCGGTGACCCCTAAAACCTCAATCCTAAGCTGTAGCTGATGACCCGGTTTAGGGTCTAGGGTTTAGGGGTTTAGGTGTAGGGTTTAGGATTTAGGGTTTAGGGGTTTAGGTTTAGGGTTCAGGGGTTTAGGTTTAGGGTTTAGTTACGGTTTAGGATTTAGGGTTTAAGGTGTTCTCATGCCAACATCCTCGAGGTCACCAAGTGCTCCCCAAAGCCCATGATCCTAAATTTTAGACCCCCTCCAGAATGCCGGCGTAGACCAACAAAGTCAAACACGACATTGACATAGAAATGGTCAGCTAAACCCTAGGCCTTAAGTCCGAAACCGTTTGACGCCAAATCCGAAAGTCTCAGCGGCGTAACCACTAAGCCCCAACATCCGAAACGGCTGAACCTTGCAAAACCTCAGGTTGTCAACACCTACGACCTGGGAAAGTGCACCGGACCTTTCGACTGCCCGGGGCCCCGCTGGGCAGGGAGGGGAGGGGGATTTTAGGGTTCAGGGTTTAGGGGTGAGGATGGCACATGTTGTGGTGGTGGTGGTGGGCGGGACATAGGGCGCCGAATAGAACAAGGTTTGAGTGGACTACGTAGAATTTAAAAGGGAGTGAGGGGTTACAAGGGTTTTTGCTGATTTATACTGCAGGGATTAGAGGGCGGATATTATCATTCCAGGGGTTTTTGGGTTAGGGGTTGGGGTTAGGGGTTCGGGGTTTAGGGGTGCGGTGTTTAGGGCTTCTAGGTTTTACTTACTGACGTTTGCTGCTTCTTAAGTATCAGCTTTTGCCCTCTAGGCTCCTTCTTTACCATCGGCAGCTGACAACAAGCTGTGACTAAACAATGCATGTCTGCATTATTTCTATTCAGGTGTCGCTTACTCTTGTCTCAGTGTTAAGAACGGTAGCGCAATATCTTCAGGCTCAACGTCGCCCTAAGCCCTCGTCGCTAAATCCTGAACCCTATAACCCTAAACCCTATAACCCTAAACCCTAAACCCTAAGCCCTAAACCCTAAACCCTACTCCGGGTCGGTCTGCTCAGGTGAGAACTTGCAGCACTACGGCCCGGTGGTTGGATGCGCAGCTTGGTAGGGCTCAGCGTTTAGGGTTGGAGGCCCCGCCAGCGCCACCACACCTAAACTGAAAACCCTAAGACCCAAAACCCTAAAACCACAAAGCCCTAAAACCATAAGCCCCAAGACCCTAAAACCACAAAGCCCTAGAACCCTAAGCCATAAACAGTCTTGGCTGGGGTTCCATAACCCTAAACCCTAAACCCTAAACTCTAAACTCTAAACCCTAAACCCTAAACCCCACTAAACCCGGAGCTGAGGAAACCTGGGATCCGGACCAGGACAACAACTTCCCTCATGGACAGTGGGTGGGCAAGAATCTCTACCCCAACGCCCGGCTGCCTAGAATTCGATTTTTTCGGGTTGTGCCAGGCTACGATTTCCAGGTTTCTGCGGGTTTAGAGTGTTTTAGTTTAGGGGTGTAAGGTTTACGACCTGGGGAATCTCTACCCCAATGCAACTCGTGCGGCCGAGCCGAGCTTGCCGCTAGTTCCGTCGTCACAGTAGTCATATGGGAGTTTCCGAAAATTTGGGGTACCTTATTTTGGGGGGTCCCATTAAGGTTCCCAGTATTTTAGGGTACTATATTTGGGTTCCCTGATTTTCGGAAACCTCCATATTCAGCACAACACTTCGCCGTCTTGGGCTCCCTTCAAGAGTCTCGTCGTTTCACATGGTTCAGCTAGCGAGATGGGCGGGAGGTTCGATTCCGCAGCATCGCGGAAGGCATTCTCGTTTTAAGACAGATTCCAAACCTGTCCAGTAACCCCGAATCCTGCGCCCCAAAGCCCAAAGCCCAAAGCCCACAGCGACAGACCAAAGCCCTGAAGCCAAGCCCTAAACCCTAAACCCTAAACCCTAACCTTGAAAAACCACAGCAGAAAGCCAAGCTCTCGGGGCCTCGCCACGTCTCCCATTCTGCCAGGCGTCGTGGTATAGCCTTCCGGGGAAGCTCCTTGCTTCAATC